CAAAAACATTGCTTCACACTCTTACCATTTTCACTTTTCTTGTGTAGCACGAGCCATTAAGTGAAAGCAGGGAGTAAGACGGGGTATCAATTTAAGAGTGGCTGTCACAGTGCCTGCCCAGCCACAGAGGTGAAAGATGGAAAGCCAACAAGCTCTTGACAAACTACAGTATTTTTGTGCCATCTCTGATTCAACCAAAGCTCTAGCCCAAAAACATTCTGCCACTTGTGGAATAGATGACAAGCCACCTTAGCACGTCTGCATTCAGACCCAGGTCAGTTGGGCCAGTGCCCAGCTTAGCGGGAAGTTATTCAGAGAAGGGAAGATCGTAGCCCACTGTGTGCACAGCTGGGGCAAACTAGGTCAGGCTAGAGCCAAAAGGTTACCTACCTATTATCTCAACCCACATATATGTTCCTCTATTCTGGGGAATAGGCAGGAATGTGAAAATCTGCTCCCAACAGAGCAGCTGTTGCATGTAAATGACATGAGATTTCGAGCAGGGTCACAGTTCTTACTAGCATTGGGTTTGTTGCTTTTCAGAACCAGTTTTAGTACTGAGGGAGCTGGACTTTAGCACTAGACCAGGGAAATCTAAAGGTGGTGTGACACACAAGCTTGTTTGTTTTTCTGAGCAGGGGGTGGGGCACAAGGCACAAACTTAAGCTGGAAGAACACAAAAGTCTACTCAAAGCAGATCTATTGCCAACTGTTAGTGTTAAAGAAGCGAGGAGGTAATCTGACAAGAGAGCAAGCCACTGCGTGGTCTGAATACTTCAGTCATTCATTTATCTGAAGACCAGTTTGGTTAAACCCTGATCCCTGGAAAGAAACTACAGCCAAGTGGCTCTCAATCCTCATTCTAGCTGGATGCCAAAGTGCTCTGGGGACTTACATTGGTTCATGAAGTACTTAATTATGTTGCCCCAAAAATCTTTAATGCAATTATTTACAAATGCAATTTGCATTAAACAGTCCAAGCCTGTAGCTCCAATAAAAATCCATCCTTGGATGGAAACGCCAAGTGTACTGATAAAGAGCCCCCCCCCTTACACAGCATCGTCAGCCAAAACAGCCAAGAAAGAACCCACAGAAAGGGGGCTAGAAGCAGCTTCATGTTCTTTAAAACTCATTTTTTGGCGTTCAGGTTGTGTCTGTGCCTGACCAGGATTTGAACCCAACACTAATATCACCTCTTGCAGGAGTTGCTGCCAATAGACCTATTATTCTTGGAAGTAAAGCCAGTGCTGAGAAAGGGGAAGAAGGAATATACCCGGGTTTGCCAGTCTAAATGTAGCCTGCCTTTAGACCTCAGACATTCCACACACAAGCATCTCCAAACACCACATGGACAGATTTTTAACAGAATGCAGCGTCTCCTGCTTTCATTTTGAATGGACTTGGGCTGGATTCCCTGAGACTAACCCAACTGCAGCTCAGATACGTCCCATTTTGGTCACAAGAGCACTACAGGGGAAAGCAAATTCCTGAACAGTTCTCTTATTTCAACAAACGTTTTTTTAGAATAACCGAGATTAGTCTGACTTTATACCAGTAGGTACATTTGTGTGGGCTTTTAAAAAGCAGATACGTCTCTGTAGTTTCTCTCTTAAGGTCCTTGATCTCAGGTGTTCTCACAAGTGACCAGGCCACCCACTTAACTCAGTTCTCGGTGCATTTGGTCATATCTGCTGACTTCAGAGGAACAACAACTCTCTATTCCTTTTCCTACCAGAGTCACTGCCTGCAGCGGTGGGAAAGAAAGGTTCCGTTTTGGCTCACGCCCGCTCCAGAGGAGTCTTAATTAGGTTCCAATAGCAGACTGTGGAGTGGCGATTTAAGAGCCACTCAACTTCCAGATTCCAGGCTAAGGAAAAAGCCGCTGTTTACTTGTAAAACTAAGCCAGGCTGCTCCGGAAAGAATGGAGGTTCCCTACGCAGGGAACTGCATGGTGGCGTTTTTAGTCACTTTTCAGAATAAAAACAGATTAAGGCTCTTCCTGTTGTGCCACAAATACACGGTTAGTAATTTACCACTGTAAAGACTGACTCCAAAAAATAAGACACGTGTTTCATTAAGAGTAGGACCTTTGAGTGTCAGTTTCCTTCACATGGAAAATAAAGCCTATATTCCACAGGTGAGTCAGAAAAGGAAGAGCACAGCTCTAAATAAGGTCTAATTAATCCATTTTCCCACTCCGCCTGTTATGGGAATTACCGCCTACATCAACTTTGTCTTCTACCACCTATAGAAAGCTTGAACACATTGTCAGGTTAAGAGACCTGCTACTCACAGTGGCAAATTCCTACATCCTGTAGCTCCTAACAAGCCAGAGGGAAGACACAAGAGAATAGATGTAGCAGTCAGACAAATGGCATCAAGGCTCCCTGTTGGCGACTTACGAAATACAATCTATAAAATCAATCCTGCTCAGTAACTGTAAAGTGTGAATGCAATGTTTTAAACCACACACTCAGCTAGGCAGATACCGTCTGAAAGAAACAGTTCCACCTGCCTAAACGACTGTGCTAACACAAGAGGGAGGCTGCAATTTTAACATACGTATGCCACAATACTCATTTGCTACTGTCCTGAGATAACAGTATAATTACTGAATTTCCACTAGTGTTGTAATGCACTCTGCAAAGTGAATGGATGTTTGCATTCACTTTTAGTCACACAATAGTGCTTTTTAAAAAAAAGTCTTGGCACTCACCATATTAATATTTAACTACAATAAATCATGCAATCATGTACAGTTTCTATAAATATCTGCTGTGTATATGTCCCCTCTTTGCCCCCAAAAGAATGGTCTTTTTTTAAAAGTGGGGAGCAGGGAAGTCGGCCAACACTTAACTAAAAAAGAACATCGACAAAATGCAAGAAATGTCTCTGTACTCTGCTAATAGAATCTGAGACGATTCCAAACGGTGCAGCTGTGAATAAAATGCAAGATGCTACAATTGTGAATCTCGAACATCCCACCGAAGTGATGTCATGTAAACTTTGATTTGCAGAAGAACCAGAGAAAGTTTCCAAATGCAGACCAACTTTTATGCCCCAAGACATTTAACCTACGGGAGTTGACAAGATTCTAGCACCTTATTCTGCTCTCACTTACGCCAGAGTCACAAGGTTGAGTCCATCAAGTTACACTGGTGTAAGGGAGAAGAATAAACGCTGTGGGGGTCTCAGTCTTCTAAACCATTTCTCAATGCTGGCTCAGTTTAAATGCTGGTTTTTGAACTTCCTTTGCTGATATTGGGCTGCAATAACTGGAATTAAGCCCTTAAATCTGCCCTCCATGCGAGCAGATTGTCATATTTCGGATAGAAGTAGCAGCATGACTTACTTTTTGGTGGCAGTACCTGCATTTCTATGCCATCTGTGAGAGACACGTGACTGGCATTGCAATCTGGCAATCCTGCAGCCAACTGAATTGAAGGAGGGGTCTAGCCCTTGACTGGAGGGAAGATATTAAGGAAATGTGAATTGAAAGTCAATTATTTTATGCTAGAATTTCATTGTAAACCTTGTTTTCTGTAATATTACACACAAAGTGTCAGCCAGTCAGATCTGCTGGATAGAAAGTTGTGTCAGATTTCTCTAAGGGGTACATACATCCTTACATTTACTTTTATGCACAACCCATCTGTTCTCTTAGCCAATCAGAATGCAGCTTTTCAACAACTGTCTCTACAAAACAGCAACTGCAGTTTAACACAATCACAAGAGAATCTTCCTCAAAAACGGTTCTGCCCCTTTGGGCCAGTGCTGGTCAGCATTTATCTAGCAATTATCCAGTGACTTTCTACAAATGCAAACTCCACATCTATGGTAAAGGCCATTGAAAATCCCATCAGATATAAGGCTACTGTGAAAAGCTTCAAAACTACTTCCCAGGTGGTACTTGACTTGGATGGCGCATCCCTTCAGCGGAGATGACTATTTACATGAGCTCTTTACTATATGGAAAAAGGAACTGTTCTACAAAGACGTACTCCCCTCACAGCCAATATCAGGGTCTGACCCCAAATCCACAGTAAACAACCAAGGGCAGTATTAGTGTGAGAAGTCAGGCACCGCTCGAAAAGCACGTCAATTCTGAGTTCGAGATAGCGTGTCAGCATGCAACTCTGGCTTTAGCTCATCAACAGATCACATACGCTGGCACAAAGAGGCAGTGAGGCAAGTTATGCACCATCAGCCCAGAGTTTCTGCCATAACTTGGAATTTCTTTGTTCCTGTAAAATACTTGGAATGCCATTTAAAACTCACACAGTTGTGTTACATTAAAAACAGACACAATTTCTGTAAACGTTCCCAACAGTTGCCCATAGTAACCATTCTTCAAACATGCTGTGCATTTTTTACAAGTTGGAAACAGGCAGCCCGCATTATGGATTTGCAATATGGAAAAACATCATAACCATAAAGGGTGTTTTTAGACCGTAGAAACAAACCAATCCCAACCTAGCAAAGCCATGTTTTAATCACATACGCTGCAAATAAATGACCGAGTGAATTAATTATGAAAGAGGAACTGAAAAGAAATTCACCCCAGACCAAATTAAATATCCCCTTAAACAAAGATGGGGCGTCTTGGAGTGGAAGCATTTAGAGCGCTTATTTCTAGCTGCCCCATAGGGAGTTCTCTCATATCCACGGCTCCCATAAATCTGAAGAAGGATTTCTCTCCAGTACGAAAACATTAAGATCCCTATTTGTCATTTACATTAATGCCCAGGTGTACATTCTCGTATAGCCATGGCAAACGAAACTGCAGCTGGCAAACAGGATGTAGCTGCTTGAATGTTATAAAAAACTCAGTTACGATTCAATTACTTACAAGTAAAAATGGGGTTCCAGAAACCCTGATGTGGTGCCATCCTGCACTCTGGAACCAACCAAAAGGAGCCATGAACAAGCTGGGTTGCCAGCAACAGGACCCTGGAAGAAGTCCGAACAGTCTGAAAACATGGGCCAGCATGGAGGGACCAAAAGATTCAAAACATTTTATTTTTTTTAATAAAGTTAACAGTAAAACAAAATTCACAAGCCTTCCCCGCCCCTCTCTTCAGCGCTGGTTTCCTCTTCTCACACAAAGCACACAGAGAGGTTTCCAACTGAGAAAATGAAACTGCTCTAAGTACAATGAGACATGATGAAGGCAGGAGTCTAATTATGTCCGTATTCAAGGTTAAAACGAGGATTTCAGGTGGGTGTATGTGGTTTGTATGTTTTTATTTTAGCCAAACTGGAAAAAGAAATTTCCCGGCCCAGAAGCTGAAAGAGAAAGTGAGAAATATTAGAGCTCGCGAGTCTCTCTCCAGAACAATGCTCGTGAACATCCGTGGAGCGCTGGGCAAACACGCAGCCCTTGGACAGAAACACAAGGGATGGGCTCCGGGCAGCCTAACTCCGCCACACAAACAGGGGAACGGAGTAACGCTGGCACAGGGTCAGTGCTGATACGTTAAAGGGGTCTGGAGAAAGGATTGCAAGGGCGAGAGTAATTTGCAAACAAGACTCTTCCCAGGTCAGGAGTCCGTGAGTTTCTCCCGTGGGTTGTATTAATGCTGGTTAAGTGCTGACCAGATGCTCAGCGCTGTACAAGCCACTCCTGTGCCAAGAGGCGTGCAATCTATGGGGAGCTGACCATGCACCAGGAGAAGGATGGTCAGTGTGGAGCATAACAGCATTTGCAACATCCCCTGGCCAACTCAAATGCAGCGACAATAGGCCGGGCCCTCCAGAAGGCCCCTGGGAGTTGTGTGCGTCTAACAGGAGACAGGACAGGCTAGCTATGCAACGTGTCTGATCAGACACCCTCCTTACCAGATTCAATGACCCAGCCAAGCCTATTTCTCAGCAACAGAACACCATTAGTGCCAAGTTTTCACACACCTCGAGGGGGAAGCTTTTCTCTACATAGGCCCCAGAAGCAGCCATCTGCTGGTGCACTGCACAGACCACGCACGCAAGCAGTGAAATCAAACATGAACCCTTTTGACCACTGACCTACGTCTGGGACGTTAATGTGACCGTCACGTATATGAACAGCACACACATTTCTCACGCTGGTGGAAAGACGTGTCACCTACCTTCAAAACTGAAGCCACCTGGCCCACCAAAGAAAGCCTTGAAGATATTGTTAGCATCAAAATCTACGGAGGGAGAAGAGAGTTGTAAGTTAGAGACATTGCTGGTGTTATTTCACATCTTTGTAGAGGCTTTTTAAACAAAGGATCCTAAAGTCCTTCACAAATGGATACACAAGCTGTGTGTAGACGGCTCGCTTTATCCACCACGGAAATGCAGCAGCAGGGAGCAGCGCTGCAGGGTCTAGGGCAGAGAGTGCAGACTCCCGGAGTCACCAGAGAGACAGACAAAGAGAGTAACTGCTAGAACTAGAGCTTGGTCTGGACACTACGGGCCAACAGGCTTATGGCTGGGATAAACATCATGCAACCAACAGGGACCAGGAGCTGTCAGCACCCAATCTCTTCAGCAGAACAGTGTCCCCTAGCTACAGGCTGGGGCACTGGTCAGTACTGACAGAGGGAAGGATGCCATCTGCTGAATCACCAACAGCCAAGGGCAGCCCTCAAGTGTTCCTTGGCCATCTCCCACCCAAGTATCGGCACAGCATGACCACGATCAGTTCACGGTGCCGTCGGACATAGCAGGCTGCCCACATTAGCAGGCGTTTAACACAAGCAAGGGAAGGAACAGCCCCTCCAGAAGTGAAGGCAGACCTGGCATCGCATGCTTGTGGGAGCACTTACCTGCCATGTTCATGCCATCCTCCTCCAGATCCTGCCCACTGTCGTAGCGAGCCTTCTTCTTGGGATCCGACAGGATGGTGAAGGCTTCTCCGACTTCTTTAAACTTCTTCTCCTCTTCTTTCTGTATTTCTGCGCTCGCCCCACTGTGCCGGTCTAAGGGGCAAAGACAGGTAGGGAAGCAGCTTTCAATTGCTGCCAAGCGTAGGTGGAAAACACTACACATTCCAGCCAACCATCGGCTTTTATGTACCACCATGGTCATCCTGCTGAAACAGTCATTAAAGAACTCAAACAATACAGCCCAGAGGGGGGCTCTGGAGGCTGGGAAAGTGCTTCCTCTGAAATTCTCTCTTCCGTTAACTTCTGCTCTCTGAAAAACCAAAAGCAGTGAGCTGCATGCTAACAGCAGAAAGCATTTCTCTACCTGGGTGATGCATGAGTGCCCGTTTCCTATAGGCCTTCTTGATCTCGTCTTCGGAGGCGTTTTTGTTCACCCCGAGGATTTTATAGTAGTCTTTCCTTTTGCTCTTTTTCAGTTCCACCTGGGCATTCTTTAGGCATTGCTTGTGTTCTAGAAAGAAGAGCAAGGCAGAGGCAGGCGCCTCGTATCACACGCAGCCTTCGGAGCAACAGAAGGAAGCATCCTTTGAGAATTAAAGACTTTGTTTTCTCTCGCTGTCCGCAGCTCACGTCCTTATACTTAACCCCAGGGGGCTGGGAAACAGGGGCCTAGGTACTACAGGCAGCCATAGCCTCTCGAGACGCCGCATTTTAGATACTGGCCAATCCCCACTCACATGACAATCCCTTTGCATTAGCTAGGTGCAATACCCAAGCCAAACCAGCCATCGAGTGCTGCTTCGGCCTTACATCTTTTCATCTTTGAGAACAGAGGAGACTCTTGTGCTCGGGCCTGGCACGTCAGGGACGGCTCCAACAGGACGGGTCAGCGAAGGCTGAATTTCCAGAGAAGTGTGACTTGCTCATCAATGGGGTGTGGGCACCTAACTCTGGTCCCTTGGAAAATTCCAGCCCCGGCTGATTCAATGTTAATGTTCTTGCAGCAGTGGTGCTCACTGCCCTGAGCCCCTGGCGGGTGCCTGGTACACCCGGCACTATCTTAAAACACCTCTGGCTGCTCCGCAAGGGGAAATGGCAGCACCCTCAGGGTGTCAATAAAACCTTAGCACTGAACATCTTCCCGCCCTGGGCAGTACTGTAGCCCTGGTGCTACAGAGATCAACTTAGCAACAGAACTGGGGAGGCTTTCATGCCACTGCTGCTAGTAACAGGCCCATGATTAGCAAAATACAGGCAGTTCTAGATCCCTGCGGTATCCAAGCATCTCCCAAACAGGTTAATTTACCCTCCGTTCCCCTGGGAGATGGAGACGTGTCCTGCTCCTCATTTTCACTGATGGGGAAACCAGGGCACAAAGAAATCAAGTGACTTGCCCAAGGGTAGAGCCAGGAATTGACCCCGTTCCGGATCTCAGTCCAGCGCCAATCACTAGACCACGCTTTACCCCCCGCCCCCAACACTGGGAGAGAACAAACTCTCATACCATTCCATTAAGCAGCTGTTCCGCAGCTTCGGGGGCTTTTCCCAACATCCCAACAAAGCGAGGGGCAGCATTAAAGCGGGAGGGGGCAGATCCATGCGTCCAATGGCAATTCAGAGCGTTTACCAGCGCTCCCACCTTACAAGAAACGCCTCTGTCAAGGGGCAGGTCGTGCGCACAGAAAGCGAGGGCCGATGCTTTTACCTTTTGTTTTCTCTGTCTGGTAAACTTTTTCATAATCCCTCACAGCATCTTCGTATTGTTCTGTGTCCATGTAACTATGCAAGGAAACAACTGTTACAATGGAACAGTTTAGAGAGACTAACAAAAACCACAGCAGCAGGGGGTAAATGATGAAGCTTCTGGAGGGATAAAACTACGGAGGGAAAGATGTGCATAGGACCCGCAGAAGCAAAACCAAAGGGGCTCAGTAGGGAGAGCCCAAGGTGGGATGCAAAGGGTGAGGACTAAAGCTCACAGCCCAGCCACCTGCATTTCTCAGGGGTAACCCACCAAGGAAACCCTGGCAGACTAAGCCTACGTTCTGGCGCTGACGTGCATCTGCCGTCTCGTTGTGCAGGAGGAATCCTAGCAAGTCAAGAAGCCATCTCTGATAGAATTGCTTCATCCATCTACCAGGTGCAGGAACTACCAGCAGCCACTGGCAATTCCAGGAAACTGAGGCAGAGTCAGACACTCGTTATCGTCTCTGGACAGTTACGAGTGATGAGACATTGCAGTTACTACCCCGAATTATCAGAGGGATCAATGGTGGCTGTCCACTGGCTGACGGACATGCAACACTGTCCCATTACCAGATATTACCGAGTCCTGGGGCGGGGGAGCCAACTTGAAGAAAAATATCCTGCACTTCAACTTAAAGAGTGATCTGACAGGGGGCCCCCAGTGGCCCTTTCAGCCTAGCAAGTGCCCAGGAAGCTCGGACACTGCCCAGGAGAAACACCAGGGGCCCAGGAAAAGGGAAACGCAGAATTTCTGATGGAGACTGTTGAAAAGACGTTAAAACCTGTCTCTGTGCAGCAAGTCCTCAGCCCCTGCATCTGAGAATGCATTGGACTGGGACAGCCAACTCTCCAAGCAGCAGCACCATCCCTAAAGCAAGGGGCCCAAGTGCTGGCGTTCACTGCCCAGGGTGCCAGGCACCGCGGGTTCAGAGACCCTCACCCAGAGCAGGGCAGCACAGCCACTGTCCCTGGAAGAGAGAGATTGGCCCTTTACAGGGAGGCATGAAAGGCAGGTCCTGCGACGGGTCTGTAAGCCAGGTTCACGGAGTGAGATTTCAACCACTCGGGGGACAGGACGTTGCTTTAAGCTACTTGATTAAATAACCAGCTCCCAGGGAGAACAAACCAAGGCTAAACGTGACCGGCAGCCTGCGGCATCAGGTCCACGACGGTGCCGTCGGGCTTCCCGCAGCCACCAGGCCCATACCTGGCTCCAACCGGAGCCTGCGTTCGCACACGCTGCCTTTCATCCCCGGTAAACTGGTCTCAGCTCTGCCAGCCAAGCAGCACTGCAGACAGCCGGTCCCCTGAACCTGAACCTCCCAGCCACGGCCTGCTTACCATTGTGCTCTCCTCAGGTATGCTTTGATATACGTGTCATCCAGTTTTATTGCATTTGTGCAGTCGTCTATTGCTTCTTCTAGTTTCCTAAGCTACAAAGCCAGACACACAGTTATTCAGGCCCCCCCTCGGGAGGGGACGGCTTTCGATACGGTTTACGCGACGCTGCAGAGACGGAGCTACGATCCCCGTGCAAAACGAAAGCCACAAATACACTGCTCATCTGGAGCCGCCTTTTCCCACCGGTCTGGCACATCCCCTTTCAGACCCTCCGTCTCTGCCTCACGGAACTCCCTGCCAGGACTCTGCTCCCCACCCCAGCCCAGAACTCGGACGGCACTTGGAGAAGCAGCAGATTTATTTTGATAAACCACCGACTGCTGCGGCTTAGAAGTGCGTTTGGAAAGGGGGTTGGGGGGGGGGGGCGCCAAGACTTGGCCCCAAACTAATTCCCAGGTGGGATTACAAATTGGCAAAAATTAAGACAATTTAAGGGGGTGGGGGTGGAAACCCACGTTACTGGTTTTCAAGCGTGAACTCCCCCAAAAAGCAATACACCACTGGAGCCAGATCTGGCTCCCCACTCCCACGGCCCGATGTTCTGGGCAGGCTTCATTGGTTTGAGCAGGCCTGGGTGAATGCTGAGGCAGTGGGGTGGGATTTCACACTGTGTGGGTCACATGATTAGCGAGGTATTGCTCGGGGTGGGGCTAGGTTTAGTAACCCCTCTGCTATAGTTTTCTTGGACGTCTGGCAAGGGCGCCAGGGCTTTGGACAGACGTCTTTTCTTTTTAGATGGAACGAAGTACAAGAAGTGATCTGCGGGTGCTGAAGTCTCCTCGTTCTCAGGAGGGGATTAAATAACTCCGCTGGAGAAGGGGATCTAAGGCCTAACTCTTCCCCTGGCTCGGGTTTCACGTCTTTAGGACAGTCGTGTCCCACGCTGTTGGGAACGCACCTACCCATGCGACCGGGAAGCCTAGCTCCCGGCCTGCAGTAAGGCGGGGACGAGCCAGCCCAGCCAAACCAGCTTCACCAAAAGAGAAATTTGGCACCATGCCTCGTTCTGGAACGAACGGTCCCTCGTCTGTATCCCCTGGGTTTCTCCTCCACGGTGAGGCAGTTTCTATCTGGGGAGTGCCTTGAGCTCCCAGGATGAACGCCCACCTGTAATGCTGCCTGGGTCTTACCTTTGAATTAACCGTCCCCCGGTTACAGTAGAGTTTGGCATTTGTTTTTATGTTATTTGGGTCTATCCCCAGTGCCTCTGTGTACAGTTCATATGCTAGTTTGTAATTGCCTTCTTTAAATGCTTTATTTCCATCTTCTTTCTTTGCTTTAAGTGCTTTGGCATTCTGAAAGAGAAAGTGCCCTGGGATGAGGGCAGACACTCTATAGATGACCTCAAAGCCCAAGGCTCACTGATCCCAAGACACACTTTCTAACTTGCTTTCAAACACAGCCCCAGACCATAGAACCTGACGCTTTGTCACCACCCCAGCTCCTTTCTGCTAAGAGAACTGCTAAAAACAGCCAGTGTCAGTCTCAGCCATTCCGCATGGGAAGAGGAGACTGTTTAAGGCTCAAGGTCAGAGCACAGCAAAAGGAAGGAACCCAACATTTTACAGCTTACCCAGCTTTGTGTTGCCTGACAAGGCGGGTGAAGCAGAACTAGATTGGAGAAGAGAGGCCGGGGCAGGAACTCGAGAGGAAAACCACTTCAAATGCAAGTCAAGCTGCAGAGCTTCACATTTGGACAGCCTACGTTAGACTTCACCGGAAGTCAGAGGCTAGAAACTGCAGCGAGAGGTCTCGGATTGCTCCAGAGAACAACAGGCAGGAGGGGCAGCCCGCAGAGGGGCCTAACCCCGGAGAGGTCTGTCAGTGGCTACCTCACAGGGAAGCAGCAGGTGGAGTTCAGGAAGGACTTGATGCACTGGCTACTGCAGTTTTGGGGAGGGGAGAGGGGAGGGGAAACACAGCAGGAAATGGGGAAGGGTGCATTTGAGCAGAACTGATTCATCATAAGCCATTGGCTCCCGGTCCCAGTACTTACTCGGCAGGCGAGACATGCTTTCTCGTGATCAGGGGCCATCCTGAGTGCCTGGATGAAGAACTGCACGGCCTTCTCGATACAGTCTTCATAGTAAAGGCAAAGACCTCGGACATAAAGGGCATCTGCGTTTGTGGAGTCCATCCGTAAGATGTCGCTGGAATAGCCAGACATGCACATTCAGAATCAAGTCTAAGCACTTTCGAGATGGCGTTTCCTTCTAACCATCAAGAAGGGTCTTGCTCCACCAAGGCGTTAGCTATTTTACCAAGCCTGAGGTCAGCGTGCTGCACTGGGAAGCGCAGGCAGGCCTGCGAGTGACATGGTGGGAAACCCAGCATGGTTTTTAAGCAGGTGGCCTTAGTAAGACTAAATGGCAGGGGGTGGAATTGGAGCATCTCTCCTAACCACACCTTGCACTGCAAAAGGAACTTCAGTGATTACACGCGAGTTTCCATCACAAAACCCCCCTCTCAGGGCTTTCCCACTAGGTTGAACAAACTCTCGCTGAGCTAGCACTCTTGGGACATCAGGGGGTCATTAGTACGTCAAGGCTCCTACCTAGCTACAGACTGTGCTTCTGGATAGCGACCCAGCAGTGCCAAACATTCGGCCTTGAGGATTTTGAACCGATGACAGGCAGGAGCGAACTCCAAAGCACGGTCCATGCAGAACACGACCTAGCGAAAGAAGAAAAGCAAGTGGGAACAAAGCAAACAGCCAAGAGCCAGATCTGAGAGATAGTGCTATCTCCGCACCAGCTGGGATGGCAGATTTGTCTTCAGACTGAACCAAGCAGACCCAGACAACTGCGTTCTCAATAGCTGAAAAAACACTTCAGTAGAAGCCTCCCCCATGCGTAGGGTCCTAAAGACCCCTCATTTGTGAAGACCTGCAGCTCGTCTTGTATTTCTAGCGATCCCATCTCCGGGGTATCCAAGCACCACAGACACAACGAAGGGTCACAGTGTGCCCCAGGGACAGCAATAGGAGAAACCCAGCCCTTCTAAGCCCTCTGATTCTATGGCGATAGGCACTAAGAAAACCCTCTGAGACAGACCATTATGCTCCCACGTTTCCTGCACTTCTCCCTCCCCATTAGTAGGGAGTGCGGGAAGCGGTAGCAACTCAATCGACAGAGACAGTTGGAACTGGACTGAACAAAGCACAAGATGCCAGGCAGGGACCAAAGCCGCACTGGCCTGTGATGGGCTGGGTGACCTAATAGGTCTTTTCCAGCTCTGGTTTCTCTGGTGGGGACAGCTGCAGGAGAACAGGAGCATTGTTCCGCAAAGGTTCATCTGCTCCTGGGGCCGGGCTCTCAATCCCCCGTTTGTGACATCACAATTAGCTGCTGTGGGGAGCACCGAGATGCTACAGATCGAGGAGCCTGATGCCTTCTGGGTGGGGAAGGACCAGGAGCAGCTCTCCAGAAACAAAGGTTTTGTTTCATGCCAACATCCCTAGCGAAGTGAGATGGGAGAAGTGAGGGACGGAGACACAGGCAGAGTTATTCCCAGATACAAAATCCAGATTGTGAAGAGCAGCTGGCCCAGCAGGACAATCAGATGAGGCAGAACTGGGATTTACCATTACAGAATCCAGAGCCTGGGCTTCAGGCATCTCCTCCTGCAGACTCTTATGAATAGTGCCCTTAACCCTGATGTGATGAAGAGACTGTCTCCTGCCCTGGGCCAAACCCTGACCTCGCATACATCCACTGACGGCAACTGCAGTTGGGTGAGAGTCACACTTGGGTGTCTGAGGGCAGATCTGTCTTTCAGGTTTCATGGCTACTCTCATTAAGGCAGGGCACGAGCGAGGCTTAGAAACAGCAGTGGAGGATGCCGTGAATAGATATGCATTCCCCCTTTATCCCTTTAACGCTGGCAGAGAACCTGCTGCTTTGTGAATAGGGATCCTGGGGATGTCTTATAGGACCAACGTTTGCTTTACAGCTGCTGAGAACATAATCGATGAGTAACACCCCCAGTCAACACCCCAGTCCCACCCATGCTCAGCCCAGCCTGCGCGGCTAACAGACGTTAGCTGGCGTAGTGCTAGATCAGCATAGCTCTGCCATCCTCACAGGGGCTCAGGGCCGCGGCGGGGAGAGGCGCCTGTCCCCCAGCACGGACCTGCCGCGGCGGGGAGAGGCGCCCCTCCCCGCTGGCCCCAATGTGGACCTGCCCTGGACTTTTGCCGCTGGGGGAGAGGAGCCCCTCCCCCAGCCCGGCCCCACCGGAGCTGCCACCAGGGAGCAGCGCCTCTCCCCTGGCCCCAAGCTGCTGCGGTGAGAGAGGGCGGGGGGGGGAGCCCCGGGACAGCCTGCAACCCCAAACCCCTCATCCCTGTCCCCACCCCAGAGCCCACACTCCAACCCTCTGCCCCCTCCTGAACTCTGAACCCCTCATTCCTGGCCCCACCCCAGAGCCTTGACCCTAGCCAGAGTCCTCACCCCCTGCACCCAATCTTCTGCCCCAGCCCTGAGCACACTCCCACACTCTGAATCCCTCGGCCCCACCCCCACCACATGAATTCTGTTACGTGCACCAATATGAAGGTGATGTGTTACACGTTACCTCCATATTGGTGCACATCATAAAATTCACTCCGCACATGGACATAAAAAATGAGAGGGACCCCTGTCCCTGACTCCTGCCGAGCCAGCCAGATCAGTGTTTTCTGGTCATAATGGGACAAAAAAGATCCCTGTTGATTTTACCTTCCTGAAATCTCGTTTCTCAAAATCAGTTTCAGCTATTCTCTCGTACTCCAGCACAGCGCTCGCATTCTTCAACTGAAAGAAAGGAGGGCACGGTCGGGTTCCACTCGCCTGGTCTGCACCACCATCGGATGGCATTTAAACCAGCCAGCGCCCAGGATATCAGAGCAGCCTCAGGAACAACAATACTCCGGAGACACCTTTGCTTTTCTAAAACCAGTTTAATGTGGGCCCCTGGGATCGGATGGCTTGATTGCCCTGGAGAATGAAGGCCTCTGCTCAACCACAGGCCAAGCAGAGCACAGACAACAGGAGGGCATGCGTCCACACACTGCCCCCCTCCACCACTCCCCGGATTGCCCAGTCTAGCTCCCACACCTCCACCAAGGAGGAGAGCACACACAGACGCAGTTTTGCAGTGTGGGTATCAGTCTGTTAAAAACTGGACTGAACCCTCAACTCATGTCACCTCTCCCCCCATCAGGCGGCTGCCCCACAGAGACACCATTTAGTCACTTCCAACCTGAGCTACACTTGATTCTGCAGCCCAGAGGCGAAAGGCTCCATAGCATAATCTTGCTCCCCTGGGCAGCCCCCACGAGGGGGCTATTTGGATCTCAGAGCGTTTTTTACCTCTTGTTGTGCCTGAGGGTTCGTGTGATCCAGTTCTAGAACTCGCTGGAAGCAGCGGCTGGCAGCCATGGCGTTCCCGAGAGAGAGGTGACATTTCCCTTCCCGTAGATGTCCCTGAGAAGACAGTTAGAAACGTGGCAAAAGTTCGCGTGGGGGGTTTCCAACGGGGAGTAACAATGATACACCGAATGGCTGGTCACCTACCCGTACAAAGGTATCATCCAATCGGACTGACTGTTGGGCATCTCCCAGTGCTTCCCGGAACTTCCCCAACATCATTAGGGTGGCTGCTCTGTTACCATAATAACTGGCATTGTTAGGACATGCGTCTGGAGAAAACATTACAGCAATCCCAGTTAGTGCAATGCAAAGGGCTACACAGATTGTCGACAGAGCACATTACAAGGTCACTGCTGGGTTCAAAATCACATTCCCCGTTTGCAAGTTCATACCCTACCTGAGCAGCTTAAAAATTACCTGGAGTCAGCCGTTTATATTTAGGAGCACCCAGAGGGATCGGAGTTCCCTTGTACAAGCGCATTGGAAATCGCATAGCGTCCTGTTCAGTGCCCATCAGCACGGTAACACTGCTGAGCCCACACGCAATCATTAACACTAAGGAGATCCAACTCAACCAGCCTGGCTGGACCAGACACAGACAGGGTGCTACATCGGGCAGCGCTACAGCCATCCCGGTAAATCTGGTGAGATCGTACACGGTAACTAACACATCTGTGTCACCGGGACACTTGGAAGAAGTTTCTTCAACGTGTGCCGTTAGCAACGTGAGTTGACCAATCTGCTGGTTTATTCCCCCCATAACCCAGTCGGATTCAGCGAGCCCCAGAACACGGTCACCAACAGTCGCTCTCACCTATGGCTTTTGTGTAGTAGTTGTATGCTTCATTGTAATCTTTCTTGGCATAATAAGCATTTCCTTGTTCCTTGAAAGTCTCTGCTTCTCTGAAAGAGAGTAAAATATCCCCCAGTGAGATGAAGAGCAGTATCGAGAGACACTGACTGGCCACCAAGGACCACATCCCCAGCTGCCTTAGCACAGCTCTGCACTGCTCTACTGGCGACACCTGGCTCTAAAGCTGGCCTACCTGGCCACTACAGAATTGCCCCTTCGATGGTACTCCTGGGGAAAGAGGGCACCCCATGTTCAGGGGACTCCCAGATGCTGGAACAGCCTCAGTGCTGTGCTAGGGGGCCAGCCAAGGATCACAGGAGCTCATGATGGATTCAGACCATCTTTGCACACTCCTCCCTTGAGCTGCACTAAGTGCTGGCCAGCCACCGCTCAGAATCTGGCCCCAGGGTATTTGTTCTTTCATTCTCAGAAACCAAGACCATTGCAGAAGCTTTTACAGAATTTACAGGTCCGATCCTGCAAGGTGCTGAACACCCACAACTGCCACTGAAATCAGCAGAAACCGAAGGTGCTGACCACCTGTCAGGAGCAGCTCCAGACCAGGCAGGAATGGCCCAGACCGCTGGAGAGGTCTCCTGAAGTCAGCAGGCTGAGGAGGGGCTCAGAACCACCTGAGAGCAGGCCCTAGGAAGTCTCCTAGAACATGCAACGTTCAGCCGGAGGCATCTCCCCCGAAGCCCTTGGAAGTTGAGCCTTCAGAAAACCAGAAGTAATTGCACCCACGGTCCATCTCACCACATTGGCAAGGCAGCCTGGCAGGGAACATGCACTGCCACCGTTCCATGCCCCACAGCCAGTCCTTTGCACCCCACATGTTAGGAAACGCTTCACTGAGGGACAAACTCTGTCTGAGGCGGCGGCGTAAGTCAGGCAGAACTGGGCCCTGTCACTGCATCTGCTGCTGAAACAGCATCGATCAACATTTACACATCCCAGCTGCTTTCTGGAGAGCTACCCGCTCTCCTCCCCTGCATGGCTTCTCCAAAGCAGCGTCACCTCTCAACAGGGCCCCGGCAATAGTGCCGACACACTGCTCTTTCGGGAGTTTAGCTACCAGGGCTTCCCAAGCTCAGGACCAACGAACCCGAATGGTTTGGTTTCCCTTTCTGTGCCACTGAACAGGTAAAATGGCCATGAGATGGAGGCTTTCAAGTATTAACTCGCCCTGTTCTAGGATGTATTTCAATCCGCACTGGGATAAAATCATTTGGGTCGTCACCATTGCACCCAGAGCTACAGAAATTAAAGCACCCGAGGTTTCCAATTATGCTCAGTCCTGCCGAAGGAGAACTCCCACAACGTACACCCGGCTAAAACCTCTTCCTTGGAGGAAGGCCAATTTCAGAAATCGAGCAACGGGCGGCAAGTCTACAGAGTACACACTTAATGATCCAAATCGCATTAGGGAGACAGTATCCCTTGGATTCCAGCTGGGCTAGTCCAGCCATAGATATAAGCAACTCCTTCCTTACCACACGAGGAGTCAACTCGCACAGGACACCTTCCTCCTCATAAAGGAAATGTCAGCCAACCGCTCCGTATATAGACTTCACAGCAGCAATGGGGCAAAGGCTGATGGCACTAAAATAGCTAAAGGGACATTCCAGCCTGCCAGAGCAGAGTTCCACAGTCAGTCTCAAACGCTCAGGTCACACCGGACAGGCTCCGAGCCGAGCGTCTCTGCCTTGTGAAAAGCCAGGGCCCAGAGAGTTACAGAAACCAGGAAAATCTCTTTTGAGGCCTTACCATGATTCTGCTCAGAAATGACGTGTTGTGAAGTCCAAGGCAGACACACAGCCCTGAAAATAGCTTTAATACGCCAACTCAAGCAGCACAGGCGTACAGAACAGGCAGCTCAAGGAGTCGTTAGCGCTATCCCCGGCCCCCCTCCTTCCCTGTAACGCCAGGGAAGGCACAAAGCCGATCAACCAATTTTACTGCTGGTGAACGTAAGCAATTTCTATCATCACTGTTAGCTTTGTGGTAGTGTCCAGAGGCCCAAATCAGGATCAGGCGCCTTTGCACTACAAGCTCTACCAAACTCACAGGCCGGTATCAGCCTATCTTGAAGAGCGTACAGTCTAGTCGATCAAGGAAGGTACAAGCAGGTATCCATTTGGTTCCATTTTATTTTTAAAACCTACAATTTACAAAAATGATGTGCGGCTCAGGCTCTGAACAAGCGGCACCCCTCTGCCAGCACATGGCGGGCACCTCTTACATCCTCTTTTGAGACCCCGAGTGAGACTGAAGTGGTGCCAAGGCATTGTGTGAGCTCTGGAAAGCAGAGATTTCACCCTTCATGACATCCTGGCCAGGTAAGGGTTGGGTGCCACTCTGTAGAGCCACTGCTACAATGCATATGGGCCAGGACATCAGTTCTCAAAGTGTGGAATGTGCACCACTGACGGTACATGGGCCGGCTTAAATTACAGTAGCCGAATACGAGTCCATTCCGACCACACCGAGTAACTTTACAAAGGAAACACGCCAACACTCCTGAGTGTTAGATGAGGCATAAAGTCAGAGACCTGCTGGTCCCGAGCCTATTCTTTAACATTGACGTTGTCGGACAGTTGTTGGACAGACACAGTAAATGACAGTCCGTGAGCCAAAGAGTCCAAGCTGAAGACACCTTTCAACCCCACCCGCTGATTAAATCTGGCCCTCTCTGTAAGGAGCGAACACTGCCACGGCCCCTTTCTGCCCGAAGGAAGGCATTTCAGCGGGCGCGAGCTGAAGGCAAGCTGAAGCGAACAATGCAAGCTATGTTTGGCAAGCCCACTAAAAAAGGAACAAAGGGAACTGTGTGGGGGCAAGTTAACATGTTTTTAACCTCATTCGGGCTTGCCATTGGCCACTCCCACACAACTGCCACAAGCAAAGGGCTGTTTGTCAGCTGGCAAAACAATCGATAGGGAGTGCTACCACTCCAAGGGCCTTCAGGGTCAGGGCTAAAATATGTGCTGCTCACTTTCATTTTTAATCTCGTTACCAATTAGGTTCAGCTCAGGATGCTGACAACAGGCAAGCCCCAGGTCTAGTGTCACTCACTGCACTGGCCAGACACACCAGGGACCTCCCTGGCCCAGTACGTTTATGTTTACTTAAAACAATCAGAGTCCAGGGGTGACTGGGTGGCAGAGAAGCGAGCTGCCATGTGGTGCTCTGAGAGTGCACGTCCCAAACTGGGAGTGCTGGGAACGCAACAGATCCAGGTCCCTCTCCCTCGGTTTCAGTGGGTTCACTTCAGGGCCTTGAAAGGTATCTAATAAGTTCCCATCCACCCCCTAGCTTGAGTCTGGTCTGAATGAGCTTTCACCTCTATCTGGTGGGAAGCTGCCGACATGCCCTCCTCACCCATGTTCTTCCCGCTAACATCCCCAGGGACGGCATCATGCCAAGGTTCCCATCAGAACTGAACCCTCTGCTGCTGTGGTCGAAACCTGTAATCTCCACCCACACCCACCAAGTCAGCCTGGGGATATGCACAGTGGAGTGTGTCGGAACACGCGGCAAGTGTCAAAGTAGAACTCTCCACCCGCACTTCTTGAGAGCTAGACAAAGATGCCCCCTACTTGACTTACAGCAAAAGGAAAAAATCTGTTCTGGGAATGAAAAATCACTTTTTAAAATGGAACTGTCCTGAGAGACTGACAGCATGTGCTCCTCCTGAGTGGAGCCGAGCTGGTGAACAAGCACAGTGTAAAAGATACATGCAATGTACATCTCATCGGTGCCATGCTGTAGATCTCTCTCTCAACTCCCTGAGTAGGGATTGTTTCAGTAACTCGTGCCAAGGGGATGGATTTGTACCACTCGTCGTGACGGGATTTTCACTCCGTAAAATAAGACACCCATGCACCATGGCCACTTCTGAACACGAGGAGGGTTGAAGCATTCAGAAGGCAGTGAAGGAAGTGACTAGAAGTTTCCTTTCTAGCGTCTATGGTCCCATTGCTGTGGTTACATATTCTGAAGAACAGGGCAGCAAGGATCATTGCCAAACCTGATCTCTCTTGGACTGCCGAGCCACTTGCTAGAAGTAAGCGGATTGTCTCGTGTAAATCTTTAAGCAACTTTACCAGTCATTATGCAATGCAGTGTTTCTAGTGGTTCCAGCTGTAGGGCTGTAAGCCAGGACTCCTGGGGTTGTTCCCTGACCGCCAGTGAGTCAGTCACTGACCTCTGCGCTTAATCACCCCATCTGTGAAAAGGGTGGTTAAATACAGACCTACCTCACAGGAGAGCTGTAAGGCTCCGTAGTGCTTACAAAGCCCTTTGAAATAATCTGATGAAGAGTACGAGGATGGTTGTTTCTATTTAGTGTTGGTTGGGTTTCCTAGACACAGCACTTCGCTGACATGTCAAACCTCAGTGGTTGGATAACCTTACCAGAGAGGAAGTAAACATGGCTGCCTTTATTGTTTACACGCCTTTAAAGCTGAACGATGAAGTCTTGCAAGAAAATCCAAGTGGCTTCAAAACCTGTAGGCAGAGTCGCTGGGTTTGCAAGATGCAAGGCGTGAGAGCCCGGGAACAGAACGGCAGCGTCTCTCCCCAGTTGTGTTCCAACACACAGAAAACTGTTCTTGTTTACCACTGTCTCTGGCTATACTAACAAAACAAATGCAGATCTCCTGATATCATTAGTAATTGTTTCAATCCAAACAGATGCTGCAGCCTGAATGAGATCATTCTGCATCTCACACTGATGTAGGCTGCATTCCCCACTTGCTGCTTTGCTAAAAATACAATCCAGGCCTGAATGGATTCCTTTGTTCGGAGAGGTCAGTGTCTCTTCAGGGCCTCTCCGTGGTGAACCTAGGGGGTGGGGAGGAACAGAGCCACATCAAGGGACTCACTAAGAACCGTCTCTTTCATTGCCTGCAAGCACTGAGAGCGCTGCTAGGAGCCAGCTGTCTGAAACAACTCCCTTCTCCTGAAATTTGGTGACCTGCGAACTGCTTGGTTAACAAGCTTGTCATGTGCTCTCAGTTCTCCAGGTGCTGCAGCCAGTCCTACTCCAT